GGGGGGGGGGAGTGGGGGGGGTTGCGGGGGAGCGGGACGGCTCTCCTCGCGGGCTGCCCTGACACGCCGCGCCCGGCGTGGCGCGGAGCTCTCGAGCGCGGCCCACGAAGGTTTCCGCGTCGAAACGAACGGAAAGGAAATAAGTCGGCGCTCGTCCCTTGAGCGCGAAGCGTGCGGCCCGCGCAGGACGAGTCACGTGACGCCGCGGACGGGCACGCGGTGTGCAATTCACGGCCGCTTGTGTTTACGTAGCGTCGAGATGTGACCACGCATCGAGACGCAAAAATAGCCGACATATTTATTTTATGGAGGCAGTCAGTCATAGGCGTCGTGATTAAAGGAATTCACAACCCAATGGCCCACGACCGTATCACTTTTTCCCGACTATATATATTTAGCAAAACATTCACACATTCCAGGAATCGTACCGTTTTTCCGACGAAGCGCAGGAAGTTACAGATGTCACATGTCAAAGAAGTAAACACTGCTCTTTGCAGTAAGAACGTGGCAACGCTTCTGGGCCATATGAAATAACTGCGACCATCATCAAAGAAGTGGGACCAGCTGTCGGAACAAAGTTTGCGGAGCTATTTACTAAATGTCCTCACAGAAGTGAAATATCTCAGTCGTGGGATGGGTGCCCTCATTCCTGTCTCTGTGTGACTCGGGGCAGATTGAAGCTGCAGCCATCCAGTCGCTTACAATCCCAGGCTTGAATTAAAATATATATATATTTTTCTCGTGAGATTTTCAAAAGACACTGACACGACGGGAACAACGACGCGAAGTTCACGTGAAGAGAGCAACGGAGGGGAGTGAGGCACTGGAAGATATTTCGCCATCGGAATCTTCATACTGGAGGAATCCGATGAGCTATGAAGCTCTTTTTCACAGATGTCCAGATGAGCGGGCGCGGTGAGCTTCACAGCGACACCAGAAGGAATTCGCCATGCAGACGAGTGGGCACGGATGTAAAGTGGATGTTGCCGACGGCACGGTGATGGTGACAAGTAGTGGCCAACAGGGAACGGGTTGGGGAAGTGGTGACGGACAACGGCCGCAGAGTTGGGCGAGAGCGAACGTGGCGCTACGGTCGCAAACACGAACCTGTTCAGAGGGTTGGGAGTGATGCTGTGGATAGAGGCAGGTGAGGGTGGTGAGTGAACCCTCGTGACCCTCCACACGCTCCCGGTGATCTGTCACTTAAACCGCCCTCTCGCCAGCGGCAGAAAAATACCGGAAATCGGCCAAACTCCACGGTGCTGCTCATTAGCGGTCTCGTTTAATTGATTTCGGCGAGAGAGGTGGCGTGGGGGTTTGCGCTCGTGGGCCGGCACGCCTGGGCCCTCCAATTAAACCCCGAGCTGTCACACGCACGGGAGACTGACTCGGCCCTGTTTGTCTTGCCCCCCACCACCACCCCACACTCTCACCACCACCACCACCACAACCCCCACACACTCACACCGCCTTCTGCAAACACACACGACACTGCTGCGCCCTCCCCCACCGCCATTACAAGAAGCCGTGAACTTGTTGAGCAACGGACGCCGCGCGGTGGGCGAGCAGCGGCGCGCGAGTCGCCCGTCGGGATGGCGCGGTGCGAGCTCGCACGCGGCACCGCGCGGACGAGACCGCTGGCAGACGCGTAAAACCCCCCCGTCGCGAGCGAGATGCTGGGGGGGGGCGGCGAAGCGCGGGGCCCGAGGAGTCGGGCGTCCGTGGCCGTCCTGGCGTCCGTGGCCGTCCTGGCGTCGTGCCCGCAGGGAGCCGGACGGTCGCCCGTCGTGCGGGGACCCCCTCCTCCCCCCCCGCCGCGGCAGCCTAGCGTACGCAGGCCTCAAGGCCGTTTATACGGAGACCTCCAGTCCCTCGTGTGCAGAATACTCGGCCCTGCGTGCGTGCGACCCTCCGTACCCCCCCTACACAGACCCCTCTACCCCCCTACCCTCGGGGTGGGTGGCTCAGCGGGGGAGCGAGCGGCACGCAGTGGGTAGGTGGTGAGTTCAAATCCTTGTTGGGGCTCGGCTCATTGTCTCTCCGGGTCACATGAAATGAGTGGCGCTCGCCAGGGACGTCAACAGCGGTTGTTCTTTGGAGAAATTCACAGCCACCATAGGAATGTGGAATTTCCAGCGCTGGCTCCGCTGGCTTTGACGTATTTTGACAAGATCTTAAAATATCAAAGGACGTAAACTAAAAGATCATAATCTCCAGAATCCTCAAAATAACCATTCTTTACACACGCAATTCTCCCAAGCCCCGATACGTGAAGCCACAGAAACACACAAGAGCCACGCGGCAGTCTCGGAGCGATCGCTGCCGTCTCGCGTAATTCCGTACCGAGGAGACGCCGTCAAACCCCCATTTACGCAATTATTCAACGACAATGGCAATTATTTTAATATATAAATAAAGCGGGAGATTGGAGGGCAGCACACCGTGGTGTCACGCGCTCGTGACGGCAAACACGGCCAAGTGGGAGTTTACAGAACCCTCCCCCTCCGCCTCGTGAGTCCCAGCAGGCAGTCGATGGCGATCGATGCCGCGCTGATTTGAGTGTTACATTTTCATCTTCGCCATCGACAGAGTAAAATAAAAAATCGATGCGGTTCGGCGTGAGCGTGGCGGATCCGCGGGCATCGGTGAAGCGATTAGACCCGCGCGACGCTCGTCACGTCCCAGCGATTTGTCCGCGTGCGCGCGTTTGCCGTTCCCCGCGCGAACCCCGATCGAAGGCCCGCGTCGCCCGCCGGGCCGAGCCTTGATGGCCGCGCCGGCCACCCCCGGGCGATCGCCGCCGTCTGCCGGCGAGGGACGGCACCGCCGCTTGATCTTGCCGAGCTGCAGGGCACGGGGCGAGCGCCGGTACCGGAGCCAAGGCCGTTTGATTCCACACGAGGCCGTTCACGCGGTGGTTGGAGGGGGCGATGTGGGGGATGGCAGCGGAGGAGGAGGGGGAGAGCGCTCGCGAATGGTTAACGTGCGGTGAAGGGAGGGCGGTGGGTGCCGTATGCGGAGGCTTCGACGCCGGTTCTGCCACCGGCTGCCACTGCCGTGTCGGCGTTGGCAGGCCGTGGTAACGACGCCTTCCTTGTCACGGCTCGGCTGTGCTGGCCAAGTCGGATTGGTGGGGGCCCCACATTTTAATCGTCATCAAAACTAATTATCCACCCCACGCATCGGCCAATGGGGGGTTGCTTAATCTTACTTCACGTTGGTCGGTGCATGTTGCTGAAGGTAGGGAGAGGCCTAGGTTAGGCCTGGTTGAGATATTGCTCACCACTGATGTTAGCTGTGGCCAGGAATAAATGGAAGGATGCCGGCTGCATCGTACGGTGCGCTGACCGCTGCTGCTGTTTTGCTCTGTCTTGGGGTGCGACCAAACATTGATTGGCAGTGGATTACAATGACATTTTATTAAAATAACAAAACTAAACAACATTCTCCAGAGATAAAACACTAACTAGCAGAATTATCGATTCTCAAGATGTGAACCATTCAATCTCAAGATGTGAATCTCATTGAGTCTCAAGATGTGAATCTCATTGAGTCTCAATATGTGAATCGAGTCTCAATATGTGAATTATTGAGTCTCAAGATGTGAATATTGAGTCTCAAGGTCATCCATTGAGTCTCAAGATGTGAATCGAGTCTCAAGATGTGAATCATTGAGTCTCAAGATGTGAATATTGAGTCTCAAGGTCATCCATTGAGTCTCAAGATGTGAACATTGAGTCTCAAGATGTGAATCTCATTGAGTCTCAATATGTGAATCATTGAGTCTCAAGATGTAAACATTGAGTCTCAAGATGTGAATCATTGAATCTCAAGATGTGAATATTGAGTCTCAAGGTCATCCATTGAGTCTCAAGATGTGAACATTGAGTCTCAATATGAATGATTGAGTCTCAAGATGTAAACATTGAGTCTCGATATGAATTATTGAGTTTCAAGATGTGAATCTCTTTGAGTCTCAAGATATGAATCTCATTGAGTCTCAAGATGTGACTCATGCTGCAATATCCCGTTGGTTGTGAGGGTGCCAGCACACACAGGCTTGTCGCCGCGAGCAGGCCGCGCGTCCCGGATCTCGGCGCGCAGTGCCGGCAACCGTCCCTGCGGGCCGTGCCGTGCCGCGGTTTCCACGTCCACCACAGCCCTCGCGTGCGACACGCGGTGTGTCCTTAGTTCTCTACTGAGACGGGAATATCGTGAGAGATGACGATGTGGGCCCCGAGGAGGAAGGGCGGCAGGCGTGGGGGTGAGGAGCCTCTCCTGCGGAACAACAACGAGAGAATTCACCGCAGCCCGGGTTCCTGTCGGCAGAACAGAGCGGCCGCTGGCTATGGTTTTGATAATAATAATAGTAGCGGTAGTGCGTGAACCACCGCGACCACCTGAGTTTGATTCCCTGCCACAGGTGACATCGGTGGCAAGTTCTGCTGTTGGGTACGGCGGCCATCTGTTCAGGTGCTCGATGCCAATGTCAAGGTCTGCTTCGGCAGAGAGAGAGTTCGTGGAGGTCTGCTGAGCGCAGTGGTTTTACTGCACGGTCCATAGTGTGGGCTGCACGGCCACACTCGTACGGCTGTGGCCGTGTCCGTGTTTTTCATTTGTGAAGGTGATGTGGTGCACTTCGGCCTGGTGATGTTGGTGGTCCATACCGGTGTCTAAGAGGAGGAGGAGCATTAAATCCAGGAGGGGTGCGATGTTTTTGTGTTGACGTCCGCGGTAGTGGCAAGCGAAGGTGAAGTATGGGCATCCAACACCCCGTGACCGACGAGGCCTCTGGCGACCGGGCCCAGCCGTCGCACTTCATAACCCCCCCCCCCGCTCCGTTTCCAGGCACGAGCGGGACACGCGGCGGCCGGGGGGGCCGGGGACGGGGGGGGCGCCGGCTCCCGCTGCAAGCGCGAGCGCCCCCCGAAGCGCCCGGCCGACGACGACGACGAGAGCGACGACCTGCCGGCGGGGGGGGGGGGGGGGGGGGGGGGGGGGGGGGGGGGGGGGGGGGCGCGACGAGCTGCCCCTCCTTCGCCTCCTCCTCGTCGTCGTCCTGCTCCTCCACGGACGAGCGGCTGCCACCCTTCGCCGCGCCGCTCCTCGCCGGCAGCAGCAGCGGCTGCGAGAGCCCCGGCTCGCCGAGCCGCGGGGAGTCCAGCAAGAAGCTGAAAGGTACGGCTCGCGCGTCCGCCCCGCGGCCCCCCGCGGCCCCCGCCGGGCCTTCTCCCCGGGCCGCCGGTCGTGGCACCGTGCTTGCCGTGCCTCCCAAAGCGACTTCCTGCTCAAATAAGCAGTCGGGTGATCCTCGTTTCCCGTTTACAGCCCTGGAGCTCGTGGTAGCAGTTCTACATTTCTATGGCCAGGGAGGTGTGGGAGGGGTGAATCTATCCATAGCACAACCGTTGTCAGCTTCCCCGCGTTGTGGTGCTCGTAATCCATTTCGCCGCGCGCCGATTAAAGCAAAAATCGCGTCGAATGTTTTTGGGGTGCGGCAGAAGGGCCAAAGACTCCGTGGCGGCCTCCCGCTGGAATCGGTACGGTTGGCACGCGTGGCACGGTGCACGACACGCGGCGTGACGCGCATTTTAACACGGCCATCGATTTATATCTCACCGTGGTGTGGCACTCCGCTCGTAATTAAACCGGCAGCAGCCACATCACCCCGGGGGCGTCCGCGGCTGACGGACGGGCGACGGATAAACGACGGGCGGCGAAACGAGTTTGGGGACCACGGGGGGAGGCGAGAGGAGGTGGGGGAGGGTTGCGGTTTTGGGAGGGCGGCACGTGGCGCCCCCTTGCCGAACCGCGTAGCTTCGGGACCGGTTTCTGTAACCGGGTGCCGCGGCAGGCGGGCGGGCGGGCCGGAGCCTCTCCCGCCGGGAGCGATGCCCTGAACTCCATCTCGCCGGGCGGCGCACGTCACGCTTGGCAGAGCGAATGAATAAGTTAGTAGCTCTCAGCGGCGGGCCGTGGGCTTTCCCGGAATCCGCTTTGCCGTAACCTCTCCCCGCTCGGTGCCACGCCGTCGGCGGCACCGCGAGCCTCGCGGCGGAGCGCGGCCCCCGGCGGCCTCCCCGGATCCAAGCTCCACGTGACCTTGGAGGTCGCTGGCCCCGAGGATCCCGTGGGCGGCGGGGGTGGGGCGTCGCAGCGGCAGGTGTTGGCGGCTGTCCGCGCGAGCGCTGCCTCGCTCGCACTTTGCCAGTGGCTTTCAAAACTTTTTGTAAGCGCGGGTATTGGGTGTAGCGGGTAAGACAATCTTGCCGCGCTTTACGACGATAATAATAAATTCCCTTTTATACAATCGAATAAACCCCAATTAGTGTCGAGGATCCTTTTTGGGGCAGGGCTCATGCTGGATTGTTTTTGCCGGTTATTCCAGATGTTTTTTTCCCCGTACGGATGAAACCAGTTGGCCCAGCACAGGCCCTTTGCCTCCTAGTGGACAACTCAACCTCGGCACAGACGACTCGGCGGGGCGTCTCCCAGCAGACCCCGCCGGAAGAACGCAGCGCGGTCCCACCGGCACCAGCGCCGACGCCGACTCGGCGCGCGGCGGCACGAGTCCGTCGAGCGGCGTGCGTTTAAACACGGCACGCCCACGCGCATCGCTTCAAAGAAAGCCACCGAAATTGGCGGTCGTCCGAGCGTGCCGCGCGCCGGCCCAGAGCGGCCCGCCATTGCCGCGTGATGTCGTCTGTTTGTGCAAGTTTCAGCAGAACCGCGCCGCTTTGTTTGCCGTCCCCGGGCGAGTTTGGTTCTCGGCGTGACCCCGGTCCCCGCGCGGGCGAGCGCTCCGTGTCGTCCCCGTGGGACGGCTCGCAGCTGGGCCTCGCCGCACGGGCCGTTGGCGTAATTGGGTACCGCCCGTCCGTCGCCATGCGACCCGGCAGGGTTTGATCCACGAGGCCACCCACTCGGCCGACTCGGATCCGGAGTCTCGTCTCCCCACGGGGGGCAGCCGCTGGGAGCAGCCGGGGAATCCGAATTCATTCCTCAGCAAAGTTTTCTGAGTTTCCTTTGTCGCTTTCATGGTGGGGCGGGTGGGAAAAAAATTATTAAAATTGTAATAACAATAATTACTGCTCGAATGGCAAGCAGAATTATTCCGAGCGCCCGTGCCAGAATTTTTATTTCCTGACCGGCGAATGCCGCGAAAAACTAAAAACAACAGTGTTTTTAGCGGAGTGTGTTCGATGCCGGAGAGTTGCACTGAGGATTCCGCGTTTTTATTGGGGCGCCGGCATGGCGGATGCCAGCCAAGACTCGCGTTGGCACGTTAGCGCCGCTGACGTCGTCACACCGCGGCACCGCCGTCGCTGACGTCGTCACCGCTTCCCGTCGTCACACGCCGCTCTGTCGGCGATCGACGCCGCGCGGCCTTTAAATCTCGGCACGACGCGTCGACGTAACGGCTCGAGAATCGTTCGGCGCCCGCGAGCGGCAGAGGGCACCGTCTCTCGGCACGGGGTCACCCGAGTTCTCCCGCGCCGACTCCGCCGCCGGCGCTCCGCTCGCGTTGGCCGCGTCCCGTGCACCCCTCCCCACTCCCGTCCGCACCCAGACCGTGCTTCCGCGGAGCGCGGTTGGCAGTCGCCGCGCTTGGAGGCCGCCCAAGCCGTGAGCTGCGCCGATCCCCGCAGCAGGCACGGGCTGCCCCGCTTGGCAGCGAGCGCCTCGAGCGCTGGCTGGGTCACCGCCACCCGCTACCGCCCCCCCTCCGCCGCCCCCTTCCAGCCCGGAGCTCTTTCAAAAGCTGTTTTTCGTCAGGCGTAGATTTCGTGAATAGATAATGTTTTTGGGGGCTTTCAGTTTCTCTTCAGGTTGTTGCCAATTTGCGATCTCTGCTGCCGCGTGCAGCGGCTCGGTCCGTGCCATCGGTCCCCAGCCCCCCCCCCGTTTCCTCTCCCCTTGTCCCCCACCCACGTCCTCCCGCCACCCCCACGCAGTACAGCGAGAAATGTCAAAACGATATCTAAAATGCCTCGTGTCGTCTCGGCATTCAAGTCCAACTGTTGTGGTTGTCATTGACTGCATTGTTTGACGCACGGTGCACGCGCGCGCTATGAATGTGCGTTGTGTGTGCCTGCGTGCAGCGGCGGCCCACACTGCCCCTTCCCCGTTCCCCCCCCCCCCCCCACCGGGGCGCAGGGGGGGAACAGCCAGCGTGGTGCGGCGCTGGGAATCGCGCCACGCTGCGTCAGACCGGTTCGGCCGTCACCCCCTCAAAATACAACCCCACCCCCCTCTCCGGATGCGAGCGCCGACGTGCCGTTCAAACGCTCGCGCCAGCGGGACTCTTATTCTGTTACTCGGCCGCAGCGCTGTCACGAGCCGTCCGGCGGGGGGGGGCGCGAGGGGCCAACTCGGCCCACGCAGCTCGCCACTCGGCGTGATTGAGCGCACGCGCGCAAATGCGCACCGTGCGTGTCAAAGTGCGCGTGTGTGCACGTGGAAAAGGATGTCTGAACCACTCCTGAGCCCCTCCCCTAGGTCGACTTGGCCTTAAATGGCGCAAACCCCTGGCGGGACCACCAACCCTTTAGGCGCTCGCTGATCGCACTGGTCACCGACAGTCTTTGTAAACGGCCACCCGGGGGGGGTCTGTGTGTGCGCATGCGTTCCAGCAGGAGGCTACATCCCCAGCTACCTGGAGAAGGATGAGCCGTGCGTGGTGTGCGGGGACAAGGCCACGGGCTACCACTACCGCTGCATCACCTGTGAGGGCTGCAAGGTGATTCCCATAGGTGCCGTCCAGGCTGCCCGCCGCCGGCTCGCCCGCTCGCTCGCCCGTTCGCTCGCACGCTCGCTCACCCTCTTGGTCGTCCGCCCCCTCACTCTCTCGTTCACTCGCCCACCCGCTCACCCAATTGCCTGCCTGCTCAACTCACCCACCCACTCGCTCCCCCCCACAGTTGTATAGACAGGAAGAGGCAAATGTAATTCACCACCGCCGCCGCACAAATGGATAAATTAAACAGCATCGGGCGTTTCTCGGTAACGCGGTCGAGCAGCACTTTTGAGAAAGGCATTCATCTGCATTATGGTGCCCATGAAGGTGCTCTTTGTTTCTCAAAAAAAACAACAACGGCGATTGAGCCAAAAGCTTCTGCAGATCTCGCTCGGCCTGGAGCTCATTCCTGCGCGCAGGCCGGCGTGCTCGGGCTGAGTGACACCGCGCCGCTTGCTCCCCGGCCCCGTGCCGGGCCGCGGTCCACCGAGAGCTGCCCGTGCTCAATTTAATTTGAGGCCAAATTGATTTTGACTGCGGGGCCTCGCAGCCTCGCGGGGCTCGGGACGGGGGGGGGGGGGGGCGGAGGGGGTGGCCGCCGCCGTCCCCGACGCGCCGGCGCCGGGCTCGGGGCGGGGGAGTGGGCGGGCACCGGGCCGCGGTGCCGAGCCGTGGTTTGAGTCATCGATTACTCGAATCATCGGATAAACAATATATTGAGGGGGTGAAAAAACTCTCGCCTCTGTTCCCATGCGTGCCGTTGGAGGGGAGGTGACGCGGGGAGCTCGGTGGCGCCGGCGTCGCGCTGGGCAGAATCGCTTCCTCTCCCGTGCTGCTATCGGTGATGCCGTCGCCAGCCATTCACTTCCGGCGTGTCTCTCCGTCCGTCTGTCCATCCAGGGGTTTTTCCGGCGCACGATCCAGAAGAAGCTGCACCCGTCGTACGCCTGCAAGTTCGGCGGCCGCTGCGCCGTGGACCGGGTGACTCGCAACCAGTGCCAGGAGTGCCGCTTCCGCAAGTGCTTGGCTGCCGGGATGGCGGCCGACTGTGAGTGTTACGGGCGGTGGGCAAAGCGGACGGGTGGGATAGGATAGCGCGTGTGTATCTGTCTGTGTGTGTGTCTGTTTCTGTGTTGGCACAGTAGGGGGCACAGGTGGTGCATCGGCCAGTCATCTCAGTCAGTCGACCCGTGGCACCCGGGTCTGTCCCGTAACCTCCTGCCAGCGGGCGTTCGACACCTCGCGTAGCCTTAACGTGCACATAGCCTGGCACAAGCTTAGTGGCGAATGGCGGTTGTTGTTGTTGTTGTTTCTGTGTGGGTTGACTGACAGACTGTGGTGTTACAGGTTGACTGATCGTCAACATGTAAAACCGCGGTCCGTCCCATGACCTCCTGTCACCTTGGTCTGTATTTTGACCTCCTACAGCGAGTCACATGGCCTGGCTAGGTACACTTATAGTGTTTTGGTTGCACCATTACCGCTCGATGGCCTGGTAGGTAGTGCACTGCGCTACGAACCTGGTTGCCCGGGTTCAATTCCTGGCCATGGATGGCATTCAGGGATGATTATCTGAATCAATCAATGGAACTTCCCAAGGTCAACCAAGCCTGAAATGAGTACCTGCTGTCGTGTGTAAGCATCAGCACCGGGGAGAGACAAAGGTGGCCGGACGTACGCTACGCCAGCCTTAATAGGAGGCTATGCGGGGATTGGGGGGGACCTTTGTGTGTGAGAGAGAGAGAGAGAGGCATTACAGAGAGATCCCATTCCCGTAATGATTTAAGCGCGATGATTGAAAATGCCCTCCAGCTCTCGCCTGGTTACGATCGTCGGGAATCGCGTTGGGGGTGGCGGTGGGGGTGGTTGCTGAGGTTGGGTGGTGGGGGTGGGGGGCGGCCGCAGAGTGAACTCGGGACGGCCGTGACGAGCGGCGTGGGTTGGTGTGGCGGCGCGCTCTGGTCACTGGGACGCGGCATGACCCCGGCTCCCGGCATTCCCTCTCCCCCGCGAGACAAATGGGCTGCACGGGAAAGGGAAGGGAGCTTTTATTGCTACCGATTGAAATGCATGAATTCAGCCTTGCATGTAATGTGCCCTTCAGACTTCCCTTAACGAATGACAGATGTTCCCATATCGTTTTTTTTTTTCCAAACGATCAATTCCTCCCTCTCACGTGGCCAAATTAAACCCGAAATTTATCAAGCGGCCGGTCAGAACTCGCCAAAACCACGGCCGGCGCGGTGAATTTGTGCCGATATTTCATGTGCCGCTGCCACCGTCGTCGTCGTCCTCGCCCGCCCACGCCGCTCGACGCGTTCCGCCCGTTTCTCCTCCTCCCGACGGCGACGCGACAACAAATCAACGCGTGAGGGCCGCATCGCCCGCACCGCCCCCTCGCTCTCCACGCGGGGAGGAGGAGAGGGGGCCCGGGTGTCTGCAGAATCATAATCAGAATATTTGTTTATACTGCCGGAAGAATCCAATGAGCTATTGAGCTCTTTTTCATAGATGTCCAGTTGGGGCGGGTATGAGCGTTACTTCAACAAACAGTCCAAAAACATGGTCGTAGTGCACAGTACAACAAATCACCCAAACACATACAAATAAACTAAACCATCCCCGTCCTACCAGGCAAAGGCCACTGAGGTGTTCACTTTCAGAAGCCACCTGGCCAGAAATGACAGCTCAACAAAGTGGCCCATCATTTGGACATTTATAGCACCAAAATAATCTCAATAGTATTAATGGACGTTTCTAAATGTGGACGGAAAACCGAAGGAGAAAAAATCCACGCGACCACGGGGAGAGAGACAGCAGGGTCGGGATCGAACCCACAACCTCCTGCATGCCGCCCACCGCGAACCTCCAGCCCCCCGTCACACTTCGCCGCCCCCCCCCCCCCAGCAGCACCGCCCTCCTGTGGCTTTTACCCAGAGGGAATGGAGGCCCCCCCCCGGTTTGTTTGAGCGAGCAGAGGGAGCGGAGGGTGCAGGCCAGGGGACCGCCGCTCGCCGCGTCCGTTTACGCTTCGTCTCTCCGCGCCCCGGCCGCAGCGCGGACGAATTAATGCGAGTTTTACCAAAAAAATAAAGAACTAAAGAGCCACAGCCCTCTCTCTCTCTCGTTTTCTCCGCTCTTCTCTCTAAAAGAGAAGCGAAGCTCCCTTCCGCTGCCCGCGCGTAAATCATTGGCACCTGGCGGAGGGCGCGGCGCGGGGGGGAGCCGGGCTGAGCCGGCTCTGCGGGGGATCGCGAGAGGGGACGCGGGAGAGATTGCGTGCGACCTCGTGGAGGGGAGCGGGGGGGGGGGGTAGCAGGGGTGAGGTGAAGAGCGACGGAGAGACAGGAGAGAGGGAGCGTGGAGGAGAGGGGGCGGCGGGAGAGGTCAGAGCGCAGGTGACGCGGCGTGCCGCGGGGGAGCGAAAGCGGGACGGCCCGACCGACAGAGGGGCCGACGTCGAGGGCGGTGCGGGGGGCGGGGGGTTGGAGTGGGAGAGGGCAGCACAGGTGAGAGGGCAGCAGCAGCGGCCGGGGGGCAGCAGAGGAGAGTGCGGCGCCGCCCCCGCGCTCCCCCCGTCGCCCCGATCTCTCTCCCGATGGCCGATCCTCACCAGCTGCGGCCGCTCGGCACAGCTGCCGCCGAAACCCTATCCTCCGTGCCGCGCGGCAGCCCGGCCTCCTCGAGCCGCCCGACATCCACCCTAATAAGTCCCGAATGCACCGCGAGTCTGCCTCAATTATCTTTTGTTTCGCATCTATTTTGGCAGCGCGGAGGTTGGGGTGGTGGTGGGGAGGGTGGGTCTGGCGGTCGCGGGTCGCCTGAGCTCCGTGCTCACCGAGAGAAATGTGGACGAAACGTGCGCTCGTTCCACTCGGCTAGCACCCCTCCACCGCCGGCCCCCTCCCCCACCTCAAACCGGGCCCCGTTGTTGGCCACTCGATTCGTGGTATTTTGCGTCTTTCTAAAGTTCAATGAGCGGCGAGCAGGTTTTATTAATATTGCGCGAGACACGGCGGCCATCCTCGCGGTCGGTCTGGCTTACGAGCGCGGCCTCAGTCGACGCGGACTCGCGAGGTGGAGTCGGTTTTGATTTCAGTCGCGCCGTATTTTATTTCTCCTCCTTCTCGAGCCCCACCGTCCAACCCGACGCACGGATTCGGCTCGGACGGCGGGGCCCTCGTAGCCGCGAGCGCCCCGCTTTTACGCATGGGGTGGGGAGCCCGTGTGGGAGACGTGGGCGGCTGATGGAGCGGAGGCCACTCCAGAACTCGGCTTAATCATCGACCAAAATTTCCGCGCGGACGCCTCGTCCGCAGACCCCCAACATGAACGTAAACAACGAAGGCCGCTGTTAAATGAAGATCGGCAGCAACTTGGGGAAACCTTGCCCGTCCTCGCCACCTCGTTGTCACACGGCGGCCATCATCACCGCTGTGGTGGTCGTCGTCGTCGTCGTCAGTGACCTCTGCCTTGGCGTCAGCGGCGTCATCTCGGTTTCCTATTGGCTCGGCATGATCATCGTTACCGTTAATGCAAGTAATGGATATTGCTTTAAAAGAGTCCATGTGCTCTGTTTAACGAGCTGAGTTCATTTTCAGATGAATCCTCTCCTTTGCAAGGGAGACCAGGGTCACTGCAGTTGCACGGGGGCAGTTTTGCTCATTGAAATGTAGTGTTGAGTAATATTACAATTTGAGAGTTGGGCCTTGACATCAGCGAATAGCATGCATTATGATATTACCCAACCAGCCATCACCCAACCCAGCAATTCATCTGTCCTGGCATCTCTCCAGTCACCCATCCACGCATCCAACAACCATCCATCCACCCCCGCACTCACTCGGCCACGCATCCTCCGAACGAACCAACCATTCATCTAGCCACCAATGCAACCAGCCAGTCACTGACCCAGTCACCCATCCAACAAGCCACCCACTCACCAAGCCACTGATCCACTCAGCCACCCTCCAGCAAACCATCTACCCACTCACTCAGCCGGTCAAGCTTCCACCCATCCAACCAGCGATCCATCCACCCAGCCACTCACCCAGACCCCCAGCCACTCACCCAGCCACCCGCTAGTCAATCATTTCAGCCACCGGTCTATCCAGCCACCTACTCAGCCACTCGCCCAAGCTACCAACTGCACAGCAACCAATCTTCCTAGCCGCACACCAAGCCACTCGCCCCAGGCAGCTCGCCATCCGTTCATCCACGCAACGCAGCCGTGCAACCCACCACCCAGTCTGGGCCCAGCCGAAGGTCGCCCTGCGGCCGTGCGGGCCGTTGCGTGGTTTGCTTCGCCGGCAGTCCGCTTTGCCCAGGCTCTACCGCCATCACCGCAACCCCCGTGCCGCGTGGCGGCGGTTGGACTTGGCGGCGGTGGACTTGGCGGCGGAGGCAGAGGTTGTTGGCGCCGATCGGCGGTGCGAGCCGGGTCATGTGAGGCCTGCTTGGCACGGACTCGCGGGCGGCCGCGCCCGCCAACGTCGCACCGCAGCCGCCAAGATCCTCCTGTGGGAAACGCTGCGCTGAATCGGATTAATTCAATATTTGCGGAGTTAGAACTACCAACGTGAAAATTATTATTTTCATAAAAAATTTCTGCTCGGAAGCGTTCAGGAAACAATTTACGGAATATTTGCTTCGTTAATCGCGTAAATATTTTTGGAGCTGCAGATTCGATCGTGCGAGGCGAGTAGCCGATGTGACCGCTGTTGTTTGACAGCGAGTGCAGTAACTCCATCGCCTCGGCTCCTCGGGAGGGGAGGGCGGTGGGCCCTGCGTAGGCACGGTACGGCGAGTTCACTGGGTTCACACTTATACAGGCAGTTTTATTATTATATTATTAAAACGAATGCTGCAAAAAAATTGTAACCGCAAGTTCTTTGTAACCGAAGTTGTTGGGGTGGACTGGATGTGCCGTGCCTCGCTCGTGCTGCCGTGTTTCCCAGCATCGTCTTGGCGACGCCGGTCTCATCGCCGCAGCGACACTGACCTGATCGTCAAGGTGACGCTGGTCCCATCACGCCCATTTCCATTAGAGTCACTCGGCGGTCAGTGCCACGTGGACATTATTACGCAACACCGGAGCGTGCGTCACGACTTGTCGGTGTCATCTTGAGTGCGACAATTTTGTTTCGTGATTGCGTTTACTTATACGCGCACGCACGCATCGTGTTATTTGTTGCTAATGAGGAGGGCTTCTCGGCTCTCGCTGCGCGAGCTCCGGGACGATTATCCAGCGCACCCGAGGGAACCCCTCTGTCCCGTCCCGCCGCGGCCATTGGTCGCCCGTCGCTCCGCGTGACGACGTGTGCGCCGGGGGGCGCCGCGGCACCGTCGTTTTTTCCGTATTTTTATCCGAAAGCGGCGGCGCGGGAGCCGCGTTGGCCGGAGGCGGCGTGCGCCCTCGGCCGCCGCGCGAGTCGAGCGGTTCACGCAGACGCGGCGCGCGCACAGAGGGCGGCGTCCCGTCGCCACGTAGACGTGAGAGGGGCACGGAAGCGCTTGGCAATCGGGGAGGATTGGGAGGAGCGGCTAGGGGAAGCGGGAGCATGGAGGGGGAGGGAATGGGGGGGGGGGGGGTTCCATCGTCGTCGTTGGCAGCCGCGCAACAATCCGCCGAACGAGACGATTTCGAGCGGGCCGTGTGCCGACCGTGGTCTCCGTGACCGGCAGGTTGGCGTCGTCGCGGTTTTCGCTTCTCCTTTTTAACGTCGTTGGTGGTGGCGCGCGGCGCGGCCCCCGTCGGCCCCACGCGTCGAGCCGCCCGCCGCCAAGAGACAGACCGCGGCCGCTCGCCGTCGGTTCGCGTCGCAGGGTGGCACGGCTCATGCCTCCCGAGGGTCCGGCGGTGCCACCGAACCCCCGACAGAAGAACACGGAATCACACGTTGAGACGCGGGGCGAACGTGACGGCTGAAAAGAGCGCCCAGCCGGTGACCTGTGAATGTCCCTGCGCAGGAAGTCTGACCGTAGGGTTTCATAAAGAAGCATTTTATGGAACTGTATTTCAAGTCCCATTAACCAAGCAGTGTCAGAGTGATATAAAACAGACCCAAACAGCGAATGTATTTTTCCCAGTGAGGAAGGGAATGGGCCCTGCAGACGTCCGCTAGATTTAGAATACAATTTTGGCCCATTTAACCGCATTTTTTTCTATTCAATCCCCCCTCACCCCCCCCCCTTCATTTTTCCAGACGCAGAATTTTGAAATTCCATTCATTTTAGCAAAGCTGCAGTTTAACCCCTTCCCTCGCCCTGGTGCAGCTTCAATCTCCTAATCCTCAGCGGTGGTGGTGGCGGTAGCGTCGGTGGTGATGGCAGTGCTGGTGGCGGTGCCGGTGGTGGCGATGCCGGTGATGGCGGTGGCCGTAGTAGCGGGGGTGGCGGTAGTGAACCACGTGCTCGCTCGATGCACGCACGTGGTTCTGGCGGTGTGCGCGAGCGTTTGTGCGCCGGCGCTCGCGCCGTCCACCCTCGCCCGCGGGTTCCCTCGCTCACGCGGCGCCCGCGTCGACTCCGCGGGGAAACACCATCGGGACGTCAAGCGGCGGCGCGGAGCGCCGCCGCCCCTCGCCACGGCCTCGGGGCGCCACCCGCTGGCCGAGCGCCCTCACGACGCCGTCTCCGGCATTGCGTGCGAGATCTACCCGGCTCGGAGCCGTCGTGACCGACGCTCGCACCGCTGCTGGGCGAAGGTGTCACCACCTCGTTGCCATGCCGGTCATGGGGGTCGTTACGGTTGTTGTTGTTGGGCGATCTGTCCGGGTGAGAGCATGCGTCTGTGACCTTTCATGTCGCGGTTGCGTTGATGGGAAGATCAGAGTGGTGGTTTCACCGCCTCCCGTGGGAAGAGAAGTCCTCTTCTCCTACTTCCGCCATCAGTCTCCTTGGCACGGCTCCCTCGGCGGCACCCTGCTCTCCAATTTGCTTCCTCCCTCTGTATAAATCCTCCCGCTGTCTTTCCATTTCTTCATCCATTCTCCGTGTTTATCTCAACGTCTTTCTTTTTTCGCGCGTGGTTTTTGCGCAAATGTTCTCCTGGCCGCGCTGTCGGCGACGCGTCACGAGTGACCTCTGATCCGCCTGCTCGAGGGGTGCACTTGATCACATCTGCTCCGAATCTGAGAGTAATGTTGGGAGCGTGACAGGGAAACCGATATTTCCGTGAGCTCCTAACCCGAGCCGCCCGCTGCGTGTTCGAGTTGTGCCGCGTGCCGTTGGGCGCGGCGTCCGGTACTTCGCTGCTCGTGCCGAGAGCTTCCAATTCGGTTCCTGGAGAAACTCCCAGCGCGTGGATCGAAACGCCGGAAGTGGCGTCGCAAAACACGCAGCGGTGCGACCCGAAACCACCGTGGGAGAGCCATGTTAACGACCCTTACGTCTCCTCATCCCTGGCCCTCTACTCCAACCGCCTTGACCCCGGGCCCCCTGACCTCCGCTCAGTGGTGCTGGACGAGAGCAAGCGGCAGGCGAAGCGCCGTCTCATCGCCGACAACCGCGAGCGCCGGCGGCAGGAGGAGCTGCAGCGGAGCCTGAAGGAGCGACCGGAACCAAGCGACGAGGAGTGGGACCTCATCCGCGTCGTCACCGACGCTCACCGTGCCACCAACGCGCAGGGCAGCACCTGGAAGCAGCACCGCAAGTTCATGGTGCGTGCGTGCACGTGTTTACGTGTGTACGTGTGTGCGTGCACGGTGCTGAGCACAGGGCCCAAAAGCCCAAAATGCAAATCGGCCAGCAACAAACAGCACTATTAAAGTTGCAATAGATGAGAGTCGTGCGTACATGCGTGTGTGCGCATACACGTGCGCACGTGTGTGCACGTGTACATTTACGCGTGTTCGTGTACATGCGGATGTGTGCGTACTGTACTCGGGTTTACATGTGTCGGCGTGCATTCCTGTGTGCACACGTACGTGTGCTTGCGTCCGATCGTGCGCGATGCCTGGGCGTGTGCGTGCCAGTCGGAGGACATCGGCCATGGCTCGGTGATCTCGAGTCGTGATGGAGACAAGGTGGACCTGCAGGCGTTCGGCCACTTCACCCGCATCATCACGCCCGCCATCACCCGCGTGGTCGATTTTGCCAAGAAGCTACCCATGTTCACGGAGGTGAGGGCTGCCTCACCCACCCGCTCGCTCAGCCACTCGCTCGCCCACCTGCTCGCTCACGCGCTCACCCACCCCCTCGCTCACCCACTCGCTCGCCTACCCACCCGCTCGCTCACCCACTCGCCCGCCCACCCACCTGCTCACCCACCCACTGGCTCTCCCACCCGCTCGCTCGCCCACTCACCCACTCGCTCGCTCGCCCACCCACCCGCTCGCCCACCCACTCGCCCGCCCACTCGCTCGCCCACCCACTCGCTCGCCCGCCCACTCGCTCGTTCGCCCTCCCACTCGCCCACCCGCTCGCTCGCCCGCCCACTCGCTCGCCCGCCCACTCGCTCGCCCGCCCACTTGCTCGCTCGCCCGCCCACTCGCTCGCTCACCCACTCGCTCACCCGCCCACCCACCCGCTCGCTCACCCACTCACCCACTTGCTCGCTCGCCCACCCACCCGCTCGCTCACCCACTCGCTCGCTCGCTCACTCGCTCGCTCGCCCACCCACCCGCTCGCTCGCCCACCCACCCGCTCGCTCACACACTCGCTGACCCACTCGCCTGATTGCTCACTCGGTCACACTCCTCCACCCACCCATTCATTCCTCCACCCATCCACTCACTCTTTCACCCACTTACGCCTCTACCCACCCACTTACCAGCTCGCCCACACGTTCACTCACTCCGCCACACAGCCAAGCACCAACTCATTCATCCACATCCACCTACTCATTCATTCGTGCATTCACTCCTCCACCCGCTGACCCGCCGGCAATGCCCGCTCGCCGTCTCAGCTGCCGTGCGAGGACCAGATCGTGCTGCTCAAGGGCTGCTGCATGGAGATCATGTCGCTCCGCGCGGCCGTGCGCTACGAGTTTGAGAGCGACACGCTCACGCTCAACGGGGAGGTGGCCGTGAAGCGCGAGCAGCTCAAGAACGGCGGCCTGGGCGTCGTATCGGACGCCATCTTTGAGCTGGGCCGCTCGCTCGCCGCGTTCGAGCTCGACGACTCGGAAGTGGCGCTGCTGCAGGCCATCCTGCTCATGTCCTCCGGTACGCTCGCCGCACCCGCGCACCGCGTCCGCTCGCCGCACCCGCGCACCGCGCCCGCTCGCCGCGCCCGCGCCAATCCGTGGTCTACGACCGCACCAATGGGATCCGGACGGCTCGCTCGACGCTGACTCGCGTCCCCGACACCGCGTGTCCCCCCGCCCACACGGTAGACCGTCCGGGCCTGGTGAGCGTGGACAAGGTGGAGAAGATGCAGGAGACCTACCTGCTCGCCTTCGAGCACTACGTCAACCACCGCAAGCACGCCATGCGCTTCTTCTGGCCCAAGCTGCTCATGAAGGTCACCGACCTGCGCCTCATCGGTGCCTGCCACTCCAGCCGCATCCTGCACATGAAGGTCACCTGCCCCTCCGAGCTCTTCCCGCCACTCTTCCTCGAGGTGTTTGAGGACTGACGGAGCCACGGAACCCGGGGGTGGGGGGGGGGCTAGCGGGACGGAGCGGCCGGCGTGGGCGGCGCCGTCGCCGGGAAACCCCGGAGAGGAGCGCGAGGCCGCGAAGAACGAGCGAGCGATCGGTCTCGAGAGATGGGGCGCCGGCGGTTCTGAGCACCGCCACGCCCGGCTGCTTGCGGCCGGCAGAGAGCCACCCGGCGCGTGACCGGCTCGCCGCTCCGCGGACACTGAAGCCGCTTCCCCGCGTTCCCCGAACGGGCCTGCACTTAAACGAGACGACTCCTACCGTCCACTTCACGGCACTTCGTCCGACTCTAAGTATTTGCCGGGAACCGGCAGCGACGACGCCCGGGTGCGGCCTCCCGAGGGCGTGGCGTGTTTCATTTCTCTTAGTCGGACGGCCACGGCGCGTCGCTCCGTCCCCTCGGGAAGCTCCTCGCTTCCCCCGTGCCGGACCGCTCGGTCGGCCGGCTGGCCGAGCCGATGGCCCCTCGACGCCACGGCCCGCCGAGGCCCTCGCCGCGGCTGCCGCGCTCAAAGGAATGCCGAGGAGGTACAGTGACGCTCGCCCGAAGGCGATGTACAAAGTGACGAACTGGGTGCGTGGTGTCCTGATGTGTTACAGTTCTCGGACCAATTAAACCAAGTTTATTTCTTAGTCCGCGTTTTTTTATTGTTATTATTGTTACTATTGTTGTTACGTCTCCACTGAAAGTCTTTAAAAAAGCAATGTGACGACATTCATTATTTTGCTCCAGGCGGCAGCGGCCGCCGCCGCGACCCGCCGTGCGTGTAGCAGCAGTATTGGCAGCGTCCTCACATCGGCCAAGCACGGCCTCGAGGTTTTCCGGACAATAAATCCCGGGAGTGATTTTTTTTTAAAGACACCGATGCCTTTTAAAAAGTAAATAACTCGTGTAACTACCGTGGGAGGGGGCGGCGCTCGCGGCCCCAGGGGACGCGCGGGCGCCATCCCTCCGCGGTGGTGCGTTTTTAAGAGGCTTCTGTGTCCGGTGAACCGGGGCCGACACGCCACCCCGCGGGGTTCACCCCCTCTCCGGAGCGCAGCATCAACAACTCGTAATTTATACCGCAGACTTTGTACCCGTGTGGTGTTTTTCGTGTAAGCCACCCCCCCCCCCCTTTTCTTATTTAATATTCGCGTATTTAGTTGTTGTTGTTCTCCATTCGTCTGTTCGTCGAAACTTTCAAAACCACACAAACAGTGCCTTGCATTTCAAGGCACGTTCCGGAGCGCGCCGGAGCCCGGCACGGCGCCGTCACCGCGGCGGCGGCGCTCCTCCGCCGGCACGACCGGCGCACGTCGCCCCGCTGTAAATAGTAGCGCCACTCCGCGAGGAGTCTCTCGTGCGCCACGCGTTGTTCCGTTCCCTTCGCCCGCCACCCCCCGTGCCCACCCCCCGTGCCCACCCCCCGTGCCCACCCCCCGTGCCCACCCCCCGTGCCCACCCCCCGTGCCCACCCCCCGTGCCACCCCCCGTGCCCACCCCCCGTGCCCACCCCCCGTGCCACCCCCCGTGCCCACCCCTCGTGCCCACCCCCCGTGCCACCCCCCGTGCCACCCCCCGTGCCCACCCCCCGTGCCACCCCCCGTGCCCACCCCCCGTGCCCGCCCCCCGTGCCGCGGTGGGCAAGGGGCCCTGTGCGGGCGCCACCGTCGCCAGGCCTGGCCCGCGTATTCATCGTCAATAATTAAAGTGTAGCTACAGCAGCGAGAGTAATAAACAAAACGACAAAACTAATCTGAATGATACTGTAATATAAACGAGACGAGCCGCATGTGATGCTGGTGCTGCGATGAGAAAGAGAAAGGAGGAAGCCACGAGTAGGAAAGGAATATTAAATGAAAGCTCTGAGGCCTGCGTTTTTCACGAACTGTAAACCCTTTAAGTTTTCATAACTCGTGCGCTCATCCGACAAGAGCCCATCGTCATCTCCTCTCGACGGTTATGGTGGCCGTTGTTCTCGTTGCTTTGGGTTGTGTGTCGGGTTTGGTTGTTTTCCTCCACCAGGAGCGACCTGTTGCCAGGACGTCTACCCTCTCAGGATCTTCTCCGTCACATTCCTTCCCCTTCTTTCCCCTCCTTCCTCTTCTTCCCCTCCTCCCCCTCCTCCTCGTCGTCCGCGAGGCTACTTGCCATTCAGTCAACGCTTTCTCACGAAGGCCCGAGGTTCATTCTCTCTGTTGGCCCTCGCAGAAGCGCGCGCGCTGATTTGTCACGGAAGCTGCGGGGGAGCGCGGCTCGACGCCGTCGCTCGCCGCACCGGCGGCCTCGGGGCCGCCGGCGCTGCGGCGGAGGCGGCGCGTGGGGCCAGCTCGTTCGCTCTCGCTCCCCGGCCCACCCCGTTGCCTGTCCTTGAGCAGTGATTGAGGTGATCATTCCGCGCCTGCGAAAGCTGAACCGTCGGAGGTCTCATTTCATTTAATTTGATGCCGCAGGATTATTATTTTATTATCGAAAGCGTAAAAACAATGGGGCGCGCAGCTCGCTTTTTTTTCAAGGTGAATTTTTCCCTCCCGCTTGCGTGACACACCCCACCAACCCCCCCCACCCCCCCCGCGCTGCGTGCGAGGGCCGCGCATCGCTTCGCCCGCCGCTCCCCTTTCGCTCCGAGCCATCGTCGGGCGCGTCCCGCCTCTCGGCGCGTCATCGCCACGCGCGGCAGAGGTCACCGCGGGTCACGCTCCTCCGCCTGTCGGCACCCGCGGCGGCCGCGTGCGGCCAGGGCTTGGCACCCGCATGCGCACCCCGTGGATTCGCCACCGTCCCTCTCCTGCATCGCGCCGCTCGTTACGTTCGCCGACGTAATTTCCAGCGAGAGGGGCCGGTGGCGCGGGGTTCGCGCGTGGATTTGCCAGCAGGAGCCCCGCAGGGCCTCCGGTCTCACCGCGCCCCACGCGAGCGCCGGAGGCACCGCTTTGTCAAATTGGCGCACGTCGGCGGCCTTCTAAAGGCTCGTCCGGTGCAGTCATCCAAAGATGGCGCTTAGAGGGGGGAGGTGCAACGAACAATCGGACTCGAGACTCGAGGGGTCGAAGCGGTGCCCGGGGTCAAGACGGGGGAGCGTGGGGGCCCACGGTTGCCCTCCGCCGGCAGCTCCCGACAGACGCTGGATGTTGAAGAAGCTGTTGTACCTCTGCGCAATCCGACAATCAGTCGCTCCACGTTTTACTGGTGCACTTTAAGTTGTAGCAAAACTCGCGTGCGCATGGCGGTGCAGAAACGAAATGTCCACATCCCTCCTGCCGCACAGACACCTCCGGTGGTGGCCCGCGAGCTGTGACTTGCGTCGCCTCTCGGCTCGCGAGGCCACTGGGGGGCCACGCGCCCACTTGTGGTTGGGGTTTCCCCTTTTTCCTTTGTTACCTCTTTACGATATGTATATGTGTTTATAAACTGCTCTTCGTTTAAAACAGCAGTAGCATCAGCGGCAACAGCCGCAGCAACTACTGTACATCTCCAGCCAGGTGCGATGGCCTTACTCGCGTTCTCCACCTACAAAGGTATTGAACAGCAGCTCACGGTGTTCCTTTTTTAATTAATGTTATTTTTTTACAAATTTTACAAACATCTTCTTATGCAAAATTGAAAGCTACTATGCTAACGAGTATAAGTCATATACACACACGTGAACATGTAGAATATCGGGCAGGCGCCCGCACACGAAGTGTCGATATCGCCACTTTGAAGACAAAGGCAACCGGGCGTGGTGCTGGCCAGCCACGCCGTGCCAGCCATCCCAGAGGTGCTCGCACTTGCCCCAACAGAGTCTGTTCAAGGCTGTTCGGGAGATCTTTGTCTTTGTACAGACTCGCACACACACTCACACCGTCGCAGTGGGTATAGCGTAGGTCCATTCCAGAACTATGCGTTTGTCCAAATGCAAACGCAATTCGGTAATCGGGGAGTGTACGATTTCATTTTTCGTGGCGCGATTCAGAGAGGAGGGGAGGAGGGGGAGAGCGATGACGATGAGACGGCGGTGCTCCGAAGGTGAGCAGCCGGCGTGACGAGCACGCGGCCGGCGCTAGCCCCGCCGCAGGGCGACACCGAGATACCTCACCCATGCCGGGAGCCGGCACGCTCCCTCCCGGCGCACTGGACACGGCTTCAGAGCGACGTCGCCCTCGGAACCAGATCTGTGACCGCTTCAGATTCGGAACTACTTGAAGCGCGGCCGCTGCCGCCACGTGGCAAAACCTCAGAAATAACACGAACCTACCTACAGACCTCACGCCATGGTTTATCCGTTCATGTCTCTTAACTTAACGTCGTAGTGGTGCATAAAACACAATGGTAATTTAAACACGCAGACATAAGTAGGGAAATAATTGTAACTTAAATTAAAAACAAGCTTAAACAGGGTAACGACAGAAGGCTTTGCTCGTAGATACAACAAGGTGGCTGGGCACGGGAAAGAGAATCGCGTCGCGTCGACTTCTTTGTAGAGGAGCCATTCTCGTAGCGGGGGAGGGGGGCCGCTCGCTCGCTCGCCCCCACGGGAGCGTCGCCCGGCGTGACTCCCCGCGTCGCCCGGCGTGACTCCCCGCGTCGCCCGGCGTGACTCCCCGCCGCGGCCACCGGGAGAGGTCGCCCGCCAACTCCGCAAAACGCTCGCACGGTCGGACGCCGGTTTCTCAAAACGCGCGGGACCTGACGTCCGACAACCGACGACAACAACAATAACAACAACAATAACAACACGGAGAACGCTGCGCTCGTCGCCGCGCTCCCGGTCTGTCCGCGGAGCGAGACGGAGAGATCGGCCGCCGAGCGAGCCGAGCCGTCAACTCTTCCCGGTGGCGAGCTTCGCGCGGTGCGGCGGTGGTGGTGGTGGTGCAGTAACTTTGAGCCATAGGCGGCCGTGGGGGCCGGGGGGGGGCTCGTAGCTATCGCCTCCCCCGGCGCTCCAGGCCAGACCGTCCTGCAGCAGTCAGAGGGCTGCCGCTGAGCGTAGCGCCCGGGCAAAAGTGCAGAGAGCGCCGCTTTAGTGATAATAACGATGGTGACGATGGTGACGATGATGAGAGCATTTATCTCTTGCCCGTAAAAAATATAAAATAAATTGCAAGAATAATTCAGGGTTTTGTTAAAAGAATAATTCTCTACTTTTGTCGTCACGTGAACACTTACAATTGTACGTACTGTATTTTTATAAAGAAAAATAATGATGCCGAAATAAAATGTATCTCAATTGTATATTATGATTATTGATTATTATTACTGAAGAAACATTTTCCCAAAAAAACGTGAGAAAAGTTTATGAAAAAAAAATACAACCAGGAATAATAATAGTTGTTGTTATTACGCTTTAATCAAGACATTCTCGGGAAAGTGTTTCTGATTCTTGTTTTGTGCGTGTACAGAGTTGTGTGCTTTCTGGGCGTTTGTTTTTGTACTTTATCACTCGGTGAGGAGTGTTGCTGCGTTGCACATGTCCGAGTGTGGCGCGGGTTTATCCGCGGTCTCTTCTCGCGCTCACGTCGATGACGACCGATGGATGGGTCGTTGTTCCGAAGATGTCAGCCCATTGGTTTTGCTCTTTGTAAATCGTTCCAGTTCTCACACTACTACTGACCGAATGCTGGAGTGAAACTCCGTGCCGGGCCCGTTCCTCGCGCAGCGTCCTCATCAG